ATCTGTGGGAAATTTCGACAAGTGAATATTTCCTTTCACAGCCAATTACTGCATTTGGATCGGTGTAGTGGACTATTGGATCTACACATTCGTGAGTCCCCATTTGACTACTCATTATTTTCCTATTGCGATTTTGTGATTTTGTATTGGTTACTTTTTCTTGTTAATTGAACACGACACGCTGATAAGGTCCTAGTCCGCTACAATTTCTGTTCGTCTCAGTTCAGCTCAGCTCGGCTCAGATGCCAATATACTACATTTTCCCGTTGCTCTCATCGGATGGACTGTATCCGAGGGTGGAAATTTCACACCATTTAGCTGCATCGCCTCGACCGGGAGCAAGCAGGTGAAGTTTTTCGTGAAAGACTAAGCAATTATAATTTTTCAGATGTATAGGAGGAAATTTATTCATTCTCGAGCTATATTCGCGGTATTCGCTCACGAGTTCCGCAGAAAATTTTTCCATTCTCTTTTAGGTTAAAATTGAAATTTTCGCTGCCATATTCTGAAAGTGTGCACATTTTTCGCACTGATAGTTAAATAACAAGCAGGACTTCCATATTCGCGACCACTAATCATGAGAAATCTACAAAAAATATCTTTGAAAGGTTGTTTTATTCCGTTTAAATCCCCAAACAATCAAGTAATCTGTCCACGGTAACTGACCTAGAAAAGCAGTCAGAGGCAGTCTGTCAAGCTAGGCTGCAAGCCGGCCACTCTAAACATCCTCAGCAGTATTCACACGATGGAAGTGAATTTTCGAAACCTAAGACTTGTCTCCGATGGACCAAAACGGAGAGACAACCGATCTCAGCGTACCAGTCCAAACTTTTGAGCACCAACCAAGAATCTCGAAGTCCCAGTGATGATAGAGAAGTATTCAACCGAAATTTATCCGCCAGAGGCAGGATTGCTTCACTGGACGATGAAATTTGAGGAAATGCGAAAATACGGACGTGGCTTGCTGTTATTTGTGTGAACAAATACGCAACAGAATGCAACGGTTTGGCGTAAATATTTTCATTCCAGTCGCAAAGGTTCTGCAGCTAAGAGCATTGTGTGAACAGGGGTCCCCATCTGCTGTCGGAGTTGACTCCAGCTGCGACTCGGCCACCGCTGCGGTTCCATACGGTACTGGAAGGGTGTCTGCGGAATCCAAACCTTCTCTTTCTGATATATCATCAGATAGTAGTGTAAAGTTTCATGAGACCCAGCGCTAACCCTGAAAAGTCGATTGAGCGATAATGAGGTCGTGAATATATGTTCAGCGAAATATTTTCGTTTAAAGGGGTACATGCTACAATTCGAACGATGAAATTTTCCGGTCAAGTTTTTCAACCCAAATGATTGATTAGTCGGAAGGATTTGTATTCAAATACGACCGTAGTAGGAGCGACGAACCCGATATAACCGAAAACTCGATTCGGTCTTCAGCTTGCAAAGTGAACTCCGCCGATGCCTACGCCTTCCTTCTATTCCTATCGTGTACAACGAGATTCCCTGATGTAGGTTGTTTCCATTTTGCGTCTACGTTGTCCTTCTTGTTTTTTGACCTTGTCGTGTTTTGTTCAAATCAACACGTGGGCTTCACCATATTGTGGCTATTTTACCTCCGACTGATATGGAATTTTGACTCCCGTTCGGAATTATTAGTTGATAAACTGGTGTGCTGAAGCCGGCGTAGTACCTTGGTTAAATGCTTGTCAAATTTTGCAATGGTATTACCATATTCATGTTACTGCATTCCTTGATAAACTTCTGTTTGAATGGTTTGAACTTTGGGGTTCCTTGCGTATCCCAGCGTGGTTCAACAATTGTGGGAAGCAAGCTATATCGTTTTATATCAATCAATCATTAACAGTGCAACCATGCTACGAACAAAGAAAGGGGCAAAAAGGTAGTTGTTTTCTTATAACCGACAAACGAGGACACCATAAAAACGAGAAACTTTGTAATGTCTTTTATTTCGTACAACCAGGCGTGCCAAGCTATGCAGGTATTGTTTACCTAACGAATTTCCCTACTTTAACTTTGCGGGTCAGATATAAATCTGAATGGCATAGGACACCAAACCAGGTGAAACTTGGGCTTCATGATTTTCATTGTATCAGATAAACATTTAACCGTCGGCGTTATTTTCCCTCATTCTGGGTAATCAGTCAGTGCTTTATATTCAGCCTTTAGATCGTGGCCACTCTGGTGCACCGAATTCTCAACAGAAACGCATCATGCTGGGGCTGAGTGCACATCGAATTGTCCATAATAAGTATTGAAGTTTGCGGCACAATTTTGTGAGCCGATGGTGGCCGACTTCATTCCAGATAAAGCCTTCCGTGATTGTCGGTTTTCACACGCAGTGACGCTATAAATGGGGACCACTTGAACAAATCTTCACACCGAGTCACGTTTTAGAGCTGCATCGCTCTGCTAACTACGATATTTGATACAGAAGTTCCCTCAAAGTGTATGAAGGTGGCTGATTTTGTTTAGCCTCGTCATTGAGAGTGCCGCAGGATATGCTTCCAAAAGAACTGAGTGTTATGCAGCAATCCACGCGGATCCCACTATACCGCACGTCTTAAGGCGCTGCTACGGCCGAGAAGCCTGGCTCGCTCGAGGTTGGCCCAGAATTCAGGACGCTTGTCGGTCAGGCATCAAGACGAGATTTGATTGGTCAACAATCTGGACCCAACAGCCAATCATGACCCAGTATTGGCCAAATGCCGGTTGCCAATAGCGCAACCAGCATGCGTCAGAAATTCCAGAGAGTTATAGCCGCTTACGCTATATATACGAAGCGCTGTACAACTGTTCTTGACTTCGTTTTGGGCATCAATAGACCCTGTGCACCTTTGGTGGTTGTTTTGGCGTGAACGCTAGCTTGGAAGGCTCAGACCGAGAACTAAGCTGAGGAAAATACCCTTACCACACTGAAAGAAAAGCACAACAATGGGAAGACTGATAGATTTGGATGTTGCTGCGCAAGCCATTGTAAATAGAACGTCGGGTAACAAGTGCAATTTTCAATGCATATCGGTATTCTGCGAACGGAAACGATTTCACGAAAGCTGTGGCGTTTGAAAGGTCAGTACTTCACAATCAAAAAGTAGCATGTCCGATGTACTCTTCTGTAGATGTGATTTGTTTGAGTGAGCAAGTCTTCTAAGCTAACTGTTACCTTTAATTGGAAATCAATGTCCACTGCTATAAGGCATCGAACATAGCTGAAAACTGAGCGGACCTAGCGCAGGGATGCTGTCAGCAACTGCTCATCGACCTCGACTTAGAAAAGTCAATGGCCCAACTTGGACGAGTTGAATAGTTGGATTTTGTTTTGCGTTTTGATATTTACCTATGTCCTGGCGGGGATTACTACTTTTCATCCGTAGTGTAATGGGGTCACTGATATCTTGAAATAGGCGAAAGATATGCTATCTTATCATAATATCACCATGAGGCAGGTGGTTATTGATATGAAAGTGAGAAATTCAGCGGCGACACTCACGTAGAACGATTCACACAAGATGTTGTCCTCACTTGCCGAGTCACACTGCATCATTTCTTGAAAACAGTATACACCAGATATCGGGCAACAAGAAACCCAAGGCTTGGTTGAAATGCATTATGCCTCAGCAATGGACGGATGTGCTCAGACTGGCACTGACATGTGTCGTTTAAAGTCATCGTCCCTTTTCCACGCGCCGGGTTCTAATGCACCCAATAGTTGATTTTTGTGTCCATAGACAACCAGCTGGGATGAAACTCGATATCGTTGGTCACCGATGGCAGGTCCTCCGTCGCAGACGTTGAACCTTGGCACATCGAAATTCGTCTTCGAACAATCCAATACTTCGCGACGTTTGTGGCCTTTCTCTATACCAGCGCCCATCACCCGTTTTAGTTGTTCATGTGGGCCATCGAAATTTGATGTCGGTGGTTAAGAAAAAAACCTAAGTGATACACCTTACTGCAGTGGCCTGTCATCAGACAACCACCTTCGGCAGATGAGGAGGCAAAGTAAGAAGAACTTTATGAATATTGTTTCTTGCCACCTCAAACGGACTGGTCTTTAAATACCGAGAGCAAATGGTACATTGGAGTCACGTCGCCTGGTTGAAGGAAAACATGCATTTACCAGCACAAGTGCCAGCCACCCGGGAGCACTTGGGCGTCTGCACCTGAAACTTTAAATTAGTTGACACAGAACAACCTCACCTTGTTATGTCCAACATGGTGGTGATGCAGCCCTGAAAATCAAGGCTAAGTGCCACAGAATGAGAGAAGACCCATGCCCGGTCATCGACAGATCACTCTTAGGATGTGGCTGTCGCAGTCCAGGATCTTACATTTCCGCATGAATCACTTGGCTAGCATGACACCCCGTGCATGATGTGTCCTTCTGGTCGCGGTGAAAAACCTGCTTCTTCGAGTCTACTATGGCGATCTCAAGGCGGTTGTTGGCCACGTTACCAAAACAGGCCATCCGCTCTCTCAGTGCACCACTCACTTGCGGGTGGTATACAGCTTGTTATCCATGAGGTTAACTATGAGAAAAAACTAGGGTCTATGCACGACAGTAACTGCATGTTATGTTGGAATTCGCGTGCTAGCATTATGATAAGAAGAAAAACCACTGCGCGGCATGCCCGAGCGAGTCGTAGCCTG